CCCATCTCAAGCCAGAGTCCTTGGTTTCGATTCCCGGGAAGGTCAGCACAGAGCGAAAGCTTAGGCAACTTTCCTTACTCCACACCCCACACAGCCACACACACAGTAGCGTTCTATAGCTCAGTGGTTGGAACACTCGCCTCGCAAGCCAGAGACCTGGGTTTGATTCCCAGGTGGGTCAAATTAGTGCGAAACCTTAGGCAAGTTTCCCCCCACACACATACACCACAACAAGAACAACAACAAGTTGCACCCTTCACGCAAGGTAGCTGCTCAGCACGTACAATCGGCTGCCGCGTTTCGCCCACAAAATATACAGTCACTACACTTTGCAATGTATCCTGTGCAGCACTTTGAGATGTCTCAAAGACGTGATAAGGCGCTTTATCAAATGCAAGGATTATTATTATTATTATTGATGGAACAGGGCTGCTCAGAAAACAAGAAAGGGTGAGAACAATATACTCAGGTTACAGTAATAGATGTGTTTAGACCCGGCAGGGCTAAACATACTAAAACTCATCAAACTGATGAAGAATAATAGAACTAGCTTTCAGGCTTATAAATATGCCTCATGCCAAGATTGAGACAATTTGTTTCTTCTAATAATATGTGGACTTGTTAGACATGAAGGAACGTCTGAAAGATGAGTAGTGTAGGTTTTCTGTTGTCATATTGCTCTCTAACTGAACATTTGAATGGTTCACCTGGGTTACGAACTTGTTAAATTACCTCAATTCAAGTACACTAAATACAGTTAGGACCAAATAGATCACAAGGGTAAACATAGTAGTTCAACCACAAGAGCACTGAAATGGAAAGGTGTAAAGTAGAATGAGTACATTTTACTGAGAATGCTATTACATTGTTTTACTATGTCAAATATACATTTGGCAAAAATATCCCATCTACAATGTTAAAGTTCATATTCATAGCAAAAAGTGTCAGAAAAATAATTGGAGCGTGTTGTGCTATATAAAACCTAGCATTAACAAGTGACAATTATAATTCAGAAAAGAGCTTATGTGTGTCTTATATCTCAAAAGACTTTACAGCTACAAATTGGATGCATGCAGCTGATGAAAATGATTTGCAACTTACGTGGTGGGATTTTTACAGGGGGTGTATAAACAGATGATTCTTTGTGATGAAAGCAATTTTATAGTTATAGCTCAATTTAAGATTAAATTTATTTTTTATAGCGATTAACCCAGAGTGTAAAATGTACACAATGCCCACTGATAAGACTCTTCTCTCTTAACATTTAAATATCCTAAATTCATAGGATAGGTAAAACATAACTGTGAAGGAGTGATAAGAGGCGTGAAAGTACATTTCTTGATGAATGAGAAATAAAATCGCTTACATGTTTGTCCTTTCCATTTCACAACAAACTTCCAAGTTTAATGGGATGCTTTCCAATTTGTTGGATATTCTCCCAAAACACCTACTGTGTAAAAAGACTACTAGGCAGATGAATGAGTAATAAAGTAAAGTACACCGATTAGATTGCTGGGACTCATTGTCCAGGCATGTTGTAAAAGGTTGAGATTTAGTAATATCCAAGACCCCAAGATGCTCACTCATTTTGTTTAAAAAAGGTTTGTGATTCACTAGTCAATTGTACTGAGCATCAACTATTCCTCGGAGGAAAGTAGAGTTTAAACCATGAACCATTTATAATCATTTAGCCACAAGACTGTACGCTTAAAGGGTAAGGAAGACTTTCTGGCACCTGAACTGTAAAAAAAAGTATGTATATTCTTTCCAAAACAGCTACATGTAAATCACCTACTTTCAGACACAATCATTGCTTTTTACATTTGTAGATTCTTCTTCTGGTGAAGCTCTGTTAATACAGTCTAAGAAATGCATTTGCCGATATTTCACCTCTAGTTTGACGTAATTAAAACATCTTGAATGTGGTGTTAGAGAAGGCAAAATATCTACACAGCTCTGAAAAAAATGAGTAACAATATCTTCATTAGGTTTTGTCAACAGTGGGACATGATAATACTAATATTACTTACATTTGATATAGTGCCTTATCACGTCTTCAAAACTTTTCAAAGCACTTCACAAAATATACAGTAAAGTGAATTGCCTGTATATTCTGTGGGTGAAACGCTGCAGCCAATTGCACACAGCAGTGTCCCACAAACAGTCGTGGATTGAGCGACCAATTTATTTATTTTTTCGAAGGAATTATTACCCCCGGAAAAGCGATCCGCCAATCAACTAACAACTGTGTTCCTTCTTACTGCTAGGTAAACAGAGCCATGTGGAGTAAGGAGAGTTGCCTAAGGTTTCGCCCTGCTGGGAATCGAACCAGGTCTTTCGCTTGCGAGGCGAGAGCTCTAACCACTGAGCTACACAACGCATCCATCCATTAGCGATTTGTGCTGTTGGGTTGACACTCAATTACAATGTGCGCAAAGACAAAAGTAAAGCTATTAACTGCAATTCAGGCATTGGACATCTCAAAACCAATAACAGACTTTGGGTTAGGGCATTTGATCTGTAAAGCTTTTTTTCAGACAATGAGAAAAAGTTTTACAAGTCTTCCAAAAATCTTCCATCTTCCCAAATCAATGATAATACTTACATTTGGTGTAACGCCTTTCAAGCGGGAAGATGTCTCAAAATGTTTCACAGAATATATAACAAAGTGGAGTGACTATTTTGTTTAAATTGCCTACAAATACTTCCAACTGTGCTTTGCCAGTACCATGCTTTCTGCTTGAACATTTGGACATGATATTAAGTTGGAACCAAATATCAATGAACAACAATTACCCAGGAACATAGGAAAAGGATTAAGCCATTCAGCCCTTCGAGCCTGTTCCGCTATTTAATTAGATCATGGCTGATCTGTACCTCAACTAATCCTTTCAATTCCAATTTCCCGCTTTCTTATGTAACAAGAGGATTACAGATATGTTCTCAGTGCACTAGGAATGAGGGTTAACTTGTACCACTGCACTCCCTTCAGGATTAATATGTTTTAAGGTAGATCAATACACTATTCACTATTTTTTTTCGTTTTTGCTGCTGTTTTATGCAGATGGCCTTTAACAATGCAGAATTGCTTGCAATACATAGATTAAGTAAAAGATCTCCTTTATAATACAACAGTCAATTTCACCATTGCATCTTTCCATTCATTTTAGCTGTATAAGAGTACCTAATAGAGCAATCTTCTCTCAAATCTTGTTTTGCTGCAACTGTATGGGTAGCAGCATGAGCTATCACGACTCAGAAGGAAACAGAGTTCACTGCTGTCAGCACACATATGCACAAGATCATGCTCAAGGCATTTATTTATTATCAAACTTTGGGCACTTGGCTTCCCATCTCTGATATGGTTGGCTTCTAGCGAGGCTGCCCAGCCAACTATGTAATCATCTGCAAAAGAATCAAAGCTGGTGTTCCTGAATTACACACATCACTTAATATCCATCAGATACTTTCCATTTGGATAGGTCAGCTTGGGACTTCAGGTCTGTTTGATAGTTTTCAATTTACTGCTTTCCTTTCCCTAAGTCAGGAATTAGTGCTGGATATGGTTTCATGGATGGCATTCTTCAGTATATTGACAGGTTATTCAACTGTGGAAATACACAGAATCCAATCCTGTCCTCATGCCACAGTCCTGAACTGACATCAGTTAAATTAACACAGGCCTGGGATTGAGCTGGTGGATACCAGAGTGAGCAAGGCATATCCATTTTTTTATATATGAAGCACTGCCTCACAACTGCAATGAGCTCCCAACCTTAAGTGGAAGTATAAGGCAAATACATCATTTACAAGATGAGTCAGGCCACTTCCTGACTGGCTATGTTTGAGCAAAATCTGCAGCCATCTTATGTTTACAATCCACATCCTACAACAACCGGGGCCACTGTGAGTCTTAACACCTAAGGTTTGGATCGTGGAAAAGCAAGATTTGATCTGCAAACATTGTTTTACGATGTTCACCATCCTTTGAAAGATTCTGTAGGGTAAAGACTACAGCTAACCAGACCAGATTTCACTCGGATCCGTGCTCAGTTAATTTACCTCGGCCAGTGTAGTAGTTGACAGCTTCTTGTCTGTTCATCATGTAGATGTGTGGTCTATGCACTAAATACTTCTCCTGGATACCTCCCACATTAGGCTTAATATATCAGCTGAGCCAAGAGGAAAAAGGAGAAAAACAGCTCAAAATCACTATCCACTAATTTCTCCTGGGATCAGTGTGTGTGTGGATATTGGGTACGTCAGTATCTTCTGAAACAGCAATACCATATTTTGTGCAAAACTGTCAAAATAGCTAAATATACCAACTCAAGCTCTTTAAAATTAAACTCACAAATATATGTTTTTCAACTGTGCACAAAATAAATATTGTAAATATATAGACATTTTCCTTTTAATACAGGACTGTAAGAATTCCTCACACTCAAATGATTAAATACCTACTTACCATGAAAATACTCCATTGTTGTCCTATGTAATGCTTCCCAAAAGGCATTATCGGAACAATGATTTTCAGATAACTATCTTAAATCTTGCATAAACCGCACAGATGTTTGAAGAATATAGGGCACAAATGTTCTGTATTCATATAACATAAAATGCTAACCAATTAATTTAATTTATATTCCATGCCCACACCTGTCCTCAGTGACTTACAAAGAAAAAAAATCATGAATAAAACTCCTTGCTGTGGCAGAGAATGGATATTGCATACACTATCAGTGTAAGAAAATGACTCAAAATTGTGTTATTCCTAAACACAATCCATTCTTTAATTATTGCCATAGGACATTTTTGGGAGCTACCATTATTCAGATGTTTGGAGAGGGGAGGTGGGGTGGTGGGGGTAATATTTCAGAACACATTACTAACACCATTCCTCAAATAAGGAATGGAATGCATTTAAGATTGCAGCATTTTTGACCCATCGTAAAACATGCAGCAAGTTCACTTCAAACTGCAAAAAAAAAATTACTTACATTGATCAAGCGACTCATCTGAATCATCAAGACAGTCCGGTTCACCATCACAAAGCCAGCTCAGTGAGATACAGGTCATCTGATCATTGCAAAGAAACTCTGTTGGTCCACATGGTTTGTGGTCTATCAAATTAAAGCACAAAAAAGTTAGAAATCAATGTAGATATAAAAATATTACTCTTTGCATTTTTAATCCAATGACAACATTTGTCACCCATAAAATATACAGTTAATTCACTTTACAGTATATTCTGGGAAGGGCTTTCTGACGTCTCAATGATGAGATAAAGCACTATATCAAAAGCAAGGATTATTATTATATAAAATACAACCAAACTTGGAAGTTTTGCATATTTGAGAACAAATACAGGGCAAGATCCAAATCACTCAGCTTAAAAATGGAGAATAAATCAATGAAAACTAGTGTTCATTGATTTCTTGATTTACATTGCAAGTTTTATTGTAGCAGATCCTGTGACAATATACGGATTCCGCATATTCAGTCATTTGAATGTTAGACCTGAAAGAACATAAAATTAAACGTTCTTAATGTGCAATAGCACAAGACATAATGTTGTAGTGTTCTCTCCAAAATGTAGTTGTTGCAAAAATTCAACACATGATCAAAAAAAATTTCAGAATAATTTATGGTAGATGACATCATGAAAACAAATACTGATTTCAGAGTCCCAATATGGAGTACTACCAAACAATCCACAATAACACTTAACGCATATAAAATAATAAATACATGGTGTTGTACATAAAAGAATAAATATAAAACTATGCCAAAATATCTCCATTATGTCATGCATATTAGACATCAGCAAATATCAACTTGAACTTACATTACCCAATTAATCCAATTACATTCAATACAATGGTAAAATTCATGCAATGTTTTCAGCCTATTCCACTTAACTTCAATTTTGCAGAACCAAAAGTAAGAACAGGAAAGAAAATATATTGTGTAGAGAAGGTCATTAGACACATCAATCAGCCATGGTGATGAACATTGCTGGAATTTATTAGGTTCAAATAACAAGTAGTAGCACAATGGAAATATTTGGACAGTTCAAGGAGATTTGGAGCTATTCTTGAAGATATCAAGGAATGCCCGCATCCTAGATTCTGAACAATCTGTTTCAAATGGTTTTGACTCAATATGTCTTCAAACATTGCCAGCATTCTGTTCAAATTAACATTTTTTGACCACCGATGTAGCAAAGTGCCATTCCATTTTTTAAAAAATATCCATTTTATGACATAGGTATATACAAAAATTATCTATTATTTTATAATCTGTTAAGATCAGGCTTGTCACAATGGAATAGTTGATGTTGAATCCAGTTTCTGCTGATGGCGGTATGTCGATGCTTCCATCATTTTTTTCACTAGGTTTTATAGTAATAATTCCCAAATCCAAACCAACAGAGATATATATTTCAGGCAAAAACTGCACAAGACCACATATCTATCTTTGGTTACGTTCAAGGGGTATCTAAACGTTTCCTCCAGCTCAAATATTAATGTAAAAATTTGAGTAAAAGGGATAAGATCGAAATTATCAATTTCCTTTGCAGAGATCTTGAATTGTGTAATTATATCCATACTGAGTGATGCGAGTCTGTTCCCTTCATCTTTTCAGTCACGCTGCTCTTTAAGCTTGACATAGCAAACATTCTCACAGGCGTGTCTGCTCATTTCATACACGTCTAATTCTATGAGCAGTTTCCATTATAAACTCAAAGAAGACTCAAGAGCATGGATTGCCTCTTTTAATTTAAGAATTAAATTACATTTTTAAGAATTCCTTTTATAACTTGAGATCATGATGTTATATTTCATAAATAAATATTGGTAATATTAATCTCATCAACTAAATTATATCAAATCCCTACATTTTTAAGCACCATTGATAAAAGTCAAGGGGTGGCATCATCAAGTGGTTAACTTTGAGCCTTCCTGATCAGTATGACTAAGTACTATTGTTTCCCGTTGGCTCAGTCAGTAGTACGCTTACATTAGGTTCAAAAGTTTATGGTTTAAGATTAGGTATTGAGATCATAAACCCAACCAGTGTAGTGCTGGAGTTTGGTTTCTCATAAGATATTAACTGAGGTCTGTCTCCCTGTTTTTAGTTCAATCTTAAACATACAATTAAAGCAACAGAGAAATAATTTTTTGCTTGTGTTACAGCCACAATCTCTCCTCAAATTGATTCATCTCATGGCTGTGTCAGTGCAAATGGCTGATACATTTGCTGACATAATTGCACTTGTCAAGGATTTCTTGTGAGGTAGCTTTCAGTCTCTTCAGCAGTGATGAGGCGCATATATCAAAATGCAAGTTAATTTTTCCACGGTTCGTCATTGAAAAATAAGAGATATCCCCAAGTGTGCACAGCTATTGTTTGTAGGATTGACTAGATTTATATCCACCGGGTCTTTGTGTAATAAAATACCCAAAATTTCTAACTCAGCGTGTGGCAACTTGAAAGGATATCTTTGAGTTGATACTTCTTAGAAACAGCCAACATTCAAACTTGACCCAGTTAAATGAATAACTAGATGCAGAAACAAAATCTTCAAACAGTAAAAGATTATTTGGATGATCCAACAAGAGTAATCCATCATCAATATACATCAACACCTTATGTTTATTATCCTCTGGGATATACTTTGTATATGGTTGTTGTTGCATGCATTTGCAGCTGTGGCAAGATGATATCAAAAGCACGATATATACCAGAAATGACAGTGGGGTTTCTAGACTTGTTCTGCCACGTGCGTTGCAATGGAACATTGTGGTTTATGCATCTAATAACAGTCACTCCAATGCCAAACTTCACCAAAGTGTTCCAACAGGATTCTGCACGCTAACCTGTCAAATGGATTCTTCTTTTGAAATTGATGACTGCTTCTCGAGCTTATTCAGTTGTCCCGATCCAAGTTTCTCAAAAGCTGTAGTTCGCACTAGCGCTCCCTGCATTGAATTATTCACAGGGAGTTCAAAATTTCGAACAAATATTCTTTTGTAAAATCCATGACCATAAAAGGTTGGTTGATATGGATTAAAATATTGGTTCAACCTGAGCTATGATGAAAGTGACCTTTCTCTCATGGCTGTAAAAAGGTCAGACGTTTGGAGTTCTGCAGCTCAGTGGTTAGAGCACTCGCCCCACAGGCAAGTAGACCTGGGTTTGATTCGAGGGCAGGACAAAATGTTGGGCAAGTTTCCTTACTTCACACACCTCTGTTTACCTAGCAGTAAGTAGGAACCCCGTTGTTAGTCAATTGGCGGATCGGTTTTCCAGAAGAAATAATTCCCTCCAAAAATAATAATATATCGGTCACTCAATTCACAACTGTTTGTGGGACACTGCAGTATGAATTTTGCCCACAAAATTGGCTCTGGCATTTCACCCACAAAATATTCAATTAATTCACTTTACAGTATATTCTGTGAAGTGCTTTGAGAAGTTTTGAAGACGATAAGGAACTATATCAAATGCAAAGATTATTATTATTAAATTAGTGAAATTGCAACTTGATTCTGAGTGGAAACAAAGTTTATGTCCAATCTTTTCAATATCTGATTATTTTTTGCCCAGAGAGTTGTTATGGTCTGGAATGCCTGAAAGGATGGTGGAAGCAGATTCAACAGTATCTTTCAAAAGGGAATTGGATACGTACTTAAAAAGGAAAAACTTGCAGGGTTATGGGGTATGAGCAGGGGATTGGTACCAGTTGGTAGCTCTTTCAAAGAGCTAGCACAGGCACAATGGGCCAAATAGCCTCCTTTTCTGTAAAATTCTACGATTCTATGATCTGCTTGGGCATTCGATCCTTCGGTGAGTCACGGGGAAAAATGTCGTCATGGTAAGAAAAACTATTTTCATGCCAGATTTCCTGGCTGAATAGGAAAAAGGAGGAATAATATACACACGATGGAAAATGAGAACCCGAGACCGAAACGATTTGAGAAATTTGATGGAACATTGTTTTTGAACAAAAAAATCCATTTCGCAAAGGAGAAAAAAAATCAGTTGAATTGAGAAAGCTTGTTGAAAGGAAAGCGAAAAAGGTGGAAAACTGTATAAATCAGCAATCTTAAAGCTGTAGATGGCTAGCCATCCAAGTTATAAATACAAATAAGAAGGTCAGCAGGTTCATAGGATTTGAATGACAACTGGAGTGAAGTTTAAATTGCAGTTATTTCTCAAAAGAATGAGTGTACCAAATGAGTTCTGCTAAATGGGTGATGGATAATGAGCCTGAAAGAAACATATAATCTCAAGTAACCAATAACCCCATGTCATAACTGAGAACACTGCTCATCTTAAATAGCGGAGTTGAATGTTAAATCATTGAAACACATTTGAGTCAAGCAAGCAATATCAGGTTCCCTTTACTTAGATTTGAGTAAAGGGGAAATCAAATAGTGTCAGAATCGTGATTGGAGATATGTCTTCAGTGGCTTTGCTCCCACCTTTTGGAACTTTCTCCTTCTATCTCTCCATCTTTCCTGGTTTAAATCCCGATCTTAAAACCCACCTCTTGGACCACGTCCTTTTTACTCCTTGGCTCAGCATCAACATTACCCGTATGAAGATAGATGATATCCTACGTGAAGGGCGATCCATTAAAGCTACTCATTGTTGTTGAAAATATTAACAGCAACCACTACTTGCATTTATATAGCATCCTTTATGCCGGACGGCGTTTCGGAGCACTTGTAAATTCAGAAGGCTTTAAAGTTCAGAAAAGCATGTAATTTAAGATATCATCTGGAAACACAGCAATACCAAGTGCTAAGAAATAATTTAAGAAACACCAAAGAGCTAGATAGCTCAAGGGAAAATAAAAATAATAAAACCTTTGCGCAAGTAGATTCACGTGATACGATTTAACAATGTGGACCTTAACAATCAAAGAGAAAGGAGTCGCAAGTGTAACAGGCCGTAATATAATATATTTATTTGCTTGAAAGAATTAATATTCCTACAAGCCAATCGGGGAAAATGCCTAAGTTCAAAGAGTTTTGGGAAGCGTATATTTTAAAGCGAGATAAACAGTGGTCTCTGTTTGTTTGTTATGTAGAATGTGTGATTATTCTGATAT